CTTCTTGACATTGAGCCTCAGTCCATACTGAAGGCTGCAGTCCTTGACCCTCTGCAGTAAGTGCATGAGGTCCTCCTCAGTTTCAGCGAGCAAGGTTGTGTCATCTGCATAATGCAGATTGTTGCTAGATCTTCCACCAATCCTAATGCCACGCATCTCCTCATAGAACCCAGACTCTCGGATAATCTGCTCTGCCTTTTATAATATTCCAATATTATTGATTTAATTTCATCTAGTCCTGTTGTGATGACACCTCTGTCATTTCTTATTTGAGTTATTTGTGTGTTCTGTGCTTTTGTTAAGTTTGCCAGTACTTTGTCTATTTTATTGACCCTTTTGAACAACCAGATCCTGGTCTTGTTGATGGTTTCAGCTGTGTTTCTGTTTTCTATCTCATTGATTTCAGCCCTTGTCCTTATTATTTCTTTTCTTCCAAAGGCCATGGGGTTACATTGTTGTTCTTTCTCTATATGATAGAGGTGTTATGTTAGGTCATTAATTTTGCTTCATTCATCCTTTTTATGTGTTAGCCTATTGCTATGAATTGCCCTCTTAGGACTGCCTTAGCTTCATCGCAGATGTTTTGGCATGTTGTACTTTCAGTATCATGTGTTTCAAGGAACTTTTTTATTTCCTTTATTTTATTGCTTCTGTATCCTCAGTATGTTATTTAGCTTCCACGTGGTGGTTTTGTAAGCTGTGCTCTCTTGTCATTAATTTCTAGTTTTATGTCATTGTGGTCTAGGAAGATGCTTTGTATTACATCAGTTTTTGGTTGTGTGTGTGTTTTTAATTTGTAGAGGCTTACTGTGTGTCCTAATATGTGATCAACCTTGAAGAATATGCCTTGTGCACTTGAGAAGAAAGTGAAATGAATTGTGGTTCAGTGCAGTACTATGAATACATCCACAAGGTTTTGTTGACTCATAGGAAGCAAGGGTTTTGACGCTCCATCTCACATACTTAGGACACATGGCCAGGAGGGGCCACTCCTTGGAGAAGTATATTGTGTTTGGAAGGGTGGACAGACAGCACAGGAGAGGGAAACCCCAGATGAGATGGATAGATACCATAACTTGGGTAATGGGGTAGGTGTGTTGGAGTCAGTAAGACTGGCTCGGAATAGGGCGGGGCTCAGAGCTGCTATACACAGGGTCACTGTGAGTCACAGATCACTTGATGGTACATAACAACAACAACATAGTTTAGATCTTCTCTATCTTTAAGTTTCTTTTGAGTTGACCTATCCTTAGTCTCCTACCACTATTGTGATGTTGTCTATTTCCTTCTTCACATCTGTTAACCACTGTTTTATGTATTTTTCATATAATTTGATGCATAGATGTTGACTAAGGTTATGTCTTCTATTATGCCTTTAATCATTATATAGTGACCTTCCTTATCTCTTATGGTGGTTTTCACCCTGAAGTCCATTTTTTCAGAAATTAGTATTGCCACTCCTGCTTTTCTTGTGGGTGCCATTTGCTTTGTATATGCTTTCTACCCTTTGATTGTTTTCGTTTTTTTCCTCATTTGTTAGATGTGTCCCTTCTAGGTAACATACTGATTGACTTTGCTTTTTTAATCCATTCTGCTACTCTTTTCCTCTTCATTGGTATATTTGGTCCATTCACATTAACTGTGATTATTGACAGGCCAGATTCTAGCACTACCATTTTTCTGTTTCTTTTTCTGTTGTTTCTGGTTACTGTGGTCCATCCACTTTTCTTTGGCATCTCTGTGTGAAAGACCTCCCTTAGAATTTCTCACAGAATTGGTTTTGTTTTCACAGATCCCTTAAGTTCCTAGTTTTGTGCATATGACCCAATTTTTTATTCGTATCTGATGAACAGCTTTGCTGGGTACAGGATCCTCCATTGGTAATTGTTTTCTTTGAACTTTCTATATATGCCATCCCATTGTCTTCTTGCTAGCATGGTTTCTGCTGAGAAATTAGAACTTAGTCTAATTGGTTCTCTTTTGTAAGTAAGTCTTTGTTTTTCTCACATGCTTTTAGGGTTCCATCTTTATATTTTAATTTGGATAGTTTGACTACTATGTTTTTCTTGGGGTCTAGTCTATTTGGGGTTCACTAAGCTAAGCTTCTTGGATGTGGATTTCCTTGTTCTTTATAATACCTGGAAAGTTTTATTCTAGTACCTCTTCCACAATTTTCTCAGTGGGTATTTTTCCCCCCTCCTCATATTCTGAATTTCATTCATATAGATCTTGTTCCTTTTGGGGTCATCCCACATGATTCTAATGTTTTCTTTATTTTCCTTCCTTATCTCTGTTTTCTCTTCTAGTATGTTCCCATTGTAGCTCTTGTCTTCCAGCTCACTAGCTCTCTGGTCCATCTCTTCTGTTTTACTTTTTTGTCTCACCAGCATGTTGGAAACTTCTGTCATTTCAGTATTGATATTCTGGATTGCATTTTCATGTATTTCTGTTATTTTCTGTAGGGTTTTTTTTTGTTTGCTTGTTTGTTTGTTTAGTTCTTGTACCCTCTTTATTTATCATTTCAATTCTTTCTTCCATTTTTTGTGATTTTTTCCATAGTTGCTCATGTTCCTACACATCTTCTGGCTCCCAGTCTCTGAGGCATTTGCCTTATTTGTGGCTTCTATTCTTCCTTCCATCATTTCCACCTTCTTCTATAGTTGTTCATATAGCTTCCCATCATTGTGTTTCTTCCGGTTCCCTGTTACTGGGGTATTCACTTCATTTATGGCTTCTATTCCTTCTTCCATCATTTGTACCTTATTCCTGTTCATGTGACTCCGTGTCAGTATATTTCTTTTGCATCTCTTCTTCTGGGATATTCATTGGGTCTGCTGTATGCTCTGCTTTTTTTAGGAGAAGGCTTATTTTGTTTTTCCACAATGTTTGAAAGTTCCTACTGCTTTCTTGATATTATGTGAAGTTTTTCCTGGTATGTGTTAGGCCTTTTCTATTGTGTCTGCATAGATAGTTAACAGTTCTTTATCTCTATGATGTTATTTATTAGCTGCATATTTAAAGGATTCCTTTTATAAGAAAGGACAGTGCACTCCACCAGGAGTCCTTTCTGTGCTTGTGCGGAGGGAAAGCTCCCCTTTCCTGAGTCCTAAATGTCTCTCTGGGCTGCAGGGCAGCCTTGCAGGAATCTCACCTGAGTTCTGCCTGCCCCTTCTAAGGTTTGTGATTGTCGTTGAAGGCGCTGGTGAGCACAGCAGCCAGAGACCACCTTCCCCCTGCAGACAGCTGCACTCTCTCTATCCAGTGTGGGATGGAGGGGGACAAGGCCCACTTCTATCCACACTCCTCCTCAGATCTCACCCTAGCCTGGTGGGCTGTAGCTGCCATTTCTATGGATCAGATCAGGAGCAGAATCTGTCTCTAAAAAGAAACCCTTATGCCCCCCCACCCCATTAAAGAAAATTGGCAATTTGCCTTCGCTATTTCATTGAAGAAATTCTATTCCAGTTGAACAATATTAAAATATAAAAACCCCTCCATTGTGGCTTTTTAAACTGAAGATCAGAATCCTTGTTTTTGTTTCCCTTCCTAGTCCCACTGACTCAAGGTGTGTAACTGGCATCTTGTTGAAGAGAATGTGGGAAGCTTTACTGTTCTTGGTTCTGGGTGCTTGTCTGTGAGGTCTGAAGGCGGCAGATGCTTTGGGAAGAGCTCTCCACATCTTGGCACAGTGGTTGCGCGCGGAGGGGATGAGTGGAGGGGCTGATGTTCTTTCTTTAGAGTCAAGCTCATTTTTAATCCAGAGCTAGGAGGGTGAATCCTGCTGCTTTTTCTTGGGGAGGCCTCCCCCGCGGTGACTGTTCTCTTGGTTGTTGCTGTCGGGTTCCTTAGGGAAGTTCTGACTCCTGGTGACCCGATGTACAACAGAAGGATACCCTGGCCGCTCCCTTAGTGTCCTCACAGTCACTGCTGTGTGCGGCCGGTGGGTGCAGCCTGGCTGTCCGTCCATCTCGTTGAGGCCCTTCCTCTCTCCTGCACTGACCGCTACTTCACTAACACGCATCCTTCTCCAAGGACTGGGTCCTCCCGCTAACACACCCGAGGACTAGCTCTCCCCATCCTCACTTCAGGAAGCACCTGGCTGTACTTCTCTACACACTGGTTTGTTTGCGCTCCTAGAAATCCCTGTGTCTTCAGTGTTCTTCACCAGTACTTCATTTTTCAGTCTTCCTTGTTCATCAACCAGCCACAACATGTATGTGAGGTGACTGAGAGCACCTGCCTGGGCCAGGCGCACCTTCGTCCTCCACATGACATCTCGCTCTGTAGCACCTTGAAGAGTCCTTTGCAGCAGTTTTGCCCCGTGCACTCGTCATGTGACTTTTTGACCACAGTGCATTTCCACCTTGAAGGTCCCTCTGAGTCCCTGAGGCTCAGGCCTGGTTGAGACCTGCCTCTGACCAGGTCTGGATCAGGCCCCAGAACCCACATTCCAGACTCTCCCAGGTAGAAGCCAGTCCTGGAGGCTCCAGAGCCTATGAGCAGTGGCAGAGCTTATGCGTTTCTTCCCAAGTCCTGGAGAGAGTGCCCAAGCCCGCAGCACACCCCGTGGTCACTGACGGAATCTCCCCTTGCTTTAAAGGTATGACCCTGAGGGAAAAGGATACATCACACACCAAGGATTTCTGCAGAAACTGGGCATTGACTATTCACCCGAGGCTCACCGGCCCTACGCTGAGGACCACTTCAACTTCATGGGTCACTTCACCAAGCCAGAGCAGATGCAAGAGGAGGTCAGGGAGCTGCGGCAGAACGCAGACAAGACCAACAGGTGAGTCTGCCCTTGTCAGAGCCGGTTGACGTTGAGTTGCCCCTCAGTCCTGGCCACCCCACTTACAACAGAGGGGAGTGGTGCCCAGCCCTGGCCATGCTCACCTCGCTGTCTCCTCCACTCCATAGTCACAGCAGTGACACTCCAAGGGCCTCCCAGCACCAGGCCAGACTGCACTCTGCTCTGACCCGGAGGGCTTCCTTGGGCTAATTTTCAGAGGTAGAGTGCCAGGCCTCTGTTCCTACTCGGCCTTAGCCTGTAAGTGCTGCTGAAAGCTGCTGGCATTTGAAATTCTGGTGGCACAACTTCCAGTGTCCACTCCTGGCACCACAGGAAAGCACGCTGCCAGGTGGGTAGCCATTGCCGCCAAGTCAGAACCGATTTGTGGCTGACCTTCCAGAGGGTTCCGAAGGCTGTGAATCACACAGGAAAGGAGATCACCCATCTTTCTCCCAGTGAGTCGCAGGTGGGTTCAGACCACGAGAGAGGCGCCCACTTCAGGTGAATAGTGCACCTCGCTTGGCAGATGGTGGAGGACCCGGCTGCTGTCTGACAGCACAGATACTAAAACAGAACCTCCAATGCTGGCACAGTGCCGTGAACCTGCTACATATGCTCTCTGCCGCAGAGCCTGGGGCTGTGCACCAAGTCCAGGAGGCGTGGACAGCTGGAAGCCACTGACCTGCTACATGCGCTCTCTGCCACAGAGCCTGGAGATGTGCACCAAGCCCAGGAGGTATGGACAGCTGGAAGCCACTGACCTGTTACATGCGCCCTCTGCCACAGAGCCTGGAGATGTGCACCAAGCCCAGGAGGTGTGGGCAGCTGGAACCTGAGGCCTTGCCCACTTTGCCCAGCCGCACACATTCAGAGCCTGGTTCTCACACATTCCAGGCTTCTTGTCTGTCTGCGCTGCGTGTTCTTGGACCCTCCTCGGCCTCAACAAGCAGACATTGGCTGCCGGTCCCTCAGTGTTAACAGCGGGCTTCCCTCTTCCTCCCGAGGCCCCCTGTTTCCATTCACCCTTCTTTCCCCCTTCCTATCTCCCCTTCAAAAGACTGGTTTTTTTTGGGGGGGGGCAAATGCTGCCCTGTTTGTCTGGCATGGTTGTTTGTTTTGAGGGGTATGTGTCTCCCTGGTAGTAACGTTTTACTCTCTGGCATATCCAACCCCCGCTGCCACAGAGTGGAGTCCAGCTCGAGGTGACTGCCCATTGAGTGTCCCAGGCTGTGGATAGTGACAGCAGGAAAGGCTGGTCGATTCGAACCACTGACCTCTCATTAATCATTAGCTGACATGCTCATTCAGCAGCCTGCCGTGTTGTTTGCTGCGTATGATACGACTGAAAAGCAACGGGGCAGGCTTTCTTGGGCTCCGACAGGACATCAGACAGGCTCAGAGTTCAGGAGATGCCCATCAACACCCTCTGCACCTGCGCCTGCGCCAGCTCTGGCCAGCCCGTGCTGCAGACCCCCATCTGTGTGTCTGTGACCTGCCTGTGGGGTTCCGCTCTCTGCCCGGCACCCCTCGCAGACACCTGCGTGAATGAATGCATGCACAGGGAAGGAATGAATGGACTTCTGCTCAGTAATCCCCAAAGGAAATGAGAACGCTGAAGACACAGATGGAACTGAAAAGAAATCAGATCACACTCATCCTTGAGTTATGCCTTAACCCCACCCCCCATCACAGAGCCTGAAGGCACAGGATGGAGTGTGTGAAACAGCAGTAAAAAATACGTACCAGATCATGCAAATCAAATGTGCCTTAAACCTAGAGGGAAGCGGCGTGTGTCTCCCAGGCGAGGACGGCCCATTACCCACTGGTGTCCGCCGCCCCTCCCCGTGCATCCCCCCTGATTTGTTCTGGGAGAGACCCCTTCCAAAGGCTGAGGTCTATAAAACAGGAGTGATGATTCCATCCCCCCACAGGCTTGCTGGGAACACGTGCAAGGGTGTGTGTGAGGAGACAACGCGGGCCTTGGTTGATCAGCTGTTGTTGTTGTGAGGTGCTGTGGGGTGGCTCCGACTCCCAGCAGCCCCACACACAGCCGAGTGCACTTCTGGGCCCTGACACGCCCTCACGGTCGCTGCTGGGTCGGGATCACTGTTGGGGCCACTGTGGCACTGCATCCCGGCGCGGCTCTTCCTCTTTCCCTCCGACTCTTTACTTCCTCAAGCACGAGGTCCTCCTCCAGGCCTGTCTCTTCTGAGAACGTGTCCACAGTCCCTGAGGCACCATCTCTCCCTCCTCACCTTTCTCGGGCACCCGGCTGCACTTCCAGTCAGATTCGTGTGGTTTTTGGAGACTATGCTGTGTTCGGTCTTCTTCACCACCACCACGATGTAAAGGCGACAGTTCTCTGGTCTTCCTTAGCTGTCGCCATCCTTCACATACAGATAAGGCCATTCTGAATGAAAGAATTGTTCTTTTACTTTTCAAAGAGAGGAGTGAAATGGGGGAGGGGTGGGCAGGGAGAAAAGTGCAACAATAAATGAATGGAAATCCAGTCTCTGTAAATTTTCATTAAAATTAATAAAATCGGTAGCATCAGGATGGATGGCGAAGAGATTGAGATTGTTCACAGCTTCAGTTTGCTCGGCTCCACAGTCAACACTCTTGGCACCAGCAGCCAGGAAATTAAAAAACGTATTGCGATGGGAAAGTCTGCTGTTAGGGACCTCTCTAAAGTACTCAGGAGCAATGGTGTCTCTCTGGAGACTAAGGTGCGCCTGATACAGGCCATGGTTTTTGCAATCACTTGTTATGCATCAGAGAGCTGGACAATGACTAGGGAGGATAGAAGGAGAATTGACGCCTTTGAGCTGTGGTGCTGGAGAAGAGTATTGAATGTACCATGGACTGCCAAGAAAACAAACAGATTAATCCTGGAGAGGGTTAAACCAGGCTGTTCCTTGGAGGCAAGGATTCTGGGGCTTCGTCTGACATACTTTGGACATGTTGTAAGGAGAGACAGGTCTTTAGAGAGGGACATCATGCTGGATAGAGTAGAGGGACAGCGCAGGAGGGGAAGACCCTCTATGAGGTAGATTGATTCAGTGACTGGGGTAATCGGGATGGGTGTGTCAGAGGCAATGAGATTGGCACAGGATAGAGCAGGGTTTAGGGCTGTTGTGCATAGGGTCGCTATGAGTCGCAAATGACTCGACAGCACATAACAACAACAACAAACAACAATAATAATAATAAAAACTTCAGGATGAAAACCACCATTAAAAAAAGAAAGACCTTGACTTGGGTCAGGTGCACCTTAGTCCTTAAAGTGACATCACTGTGCACACAAGGATCTGAGAAAACTGCTTACTGTACAGTGTATTTTTATCTTCTCTTTGTGGTTTGTCCTTCTCCTGACCCTATATCAGTTTTCCGAGAGAGTGTGTGTGTGTGTGTGTGTGTGTGTGTGTGTGTGTAACTTGAATGTAAGTTTACCAAGAAAATTGCCTTAACATTCAGCCATTCATACGCATGTTGGCTGACAATAATTACAATACCCATGCTGTGATTTCACTCTTCTGCTCTTCTGTTCCCTCTCTGTTCACAAAACCACAGAGAAAACAAAGCACATAGTGCAGTGGGTGGTGGTTGTCAGCTGCCATTAGAGTGGCCACAGACACGAGGTGACTGCATGCTCCGTGGAAAGGCTGTGACATCTCCAGACCGCCCTTATGGTTGGACCCTACTGACCCACAGAGTTTCCATGAGCCGATCTTCAGTAGATCACCTCACCACTGGGCCAATTGGCAGCATCACAGTAGACAGAGAAGAGATTGAGATTGTTAACAATTTCCATTTACTCGATTCCACAATCAACACTCTTGGTACCAGCAGCCAGGAAATCAAAAGACTAATTGCTTTGGGAAAATGTGCTGTGAGGGACCTCTCCAGAGTGCTGAAGAGCAACAATGTCAGTCTAAAATCTAAGATACACCTGATCTAGGCCATGGTCTTCTCAATTACTTGCTACATATCAGAAAGCTAGATTATGAATATGGTTGACAGAAGAAGAATTGATGCCCTTGAGCTGTGATGCTAGAGAAGAGTATTGAACATACCAAAGGAACAAACAGGTCTGCCCTGGAGAGGGTGAAGCCAAGTGCTCCTTGGAGGCAACTATCTTGAAGCTCCATCTCACATACTTTAGGCATGTTACCAGGAAGGGACAAGCCTTGGAGAAGGACATCATGCTTGGAAGGGCGGAGAGACAGCACAGGAGAGAAAGATGCAGGATGAGATGGTTTGACACAGTGACTGAGACAATGTGGGTAGATGTGTCAGAGACAGGGGGCTGGCTCAGGACAGACCAGGGTTCAGAGCTATTGTACATAGGCTCGCAGTGAGTCCCAAGTGGCTCAACAGCAAATAACAACAAGTGCCTAAGTCTAAAAGTCCCGCTGAAACCTGGTAGGCCAGAAAAAAAGGGAAGAAATGGTAAAGTTAAAGAGCTGAACAGAAGATTTCAAAGGGCAGCTTGTGAAGACAAAGCAAAGTATAACAACAAAACTTGCAAAGAGTTGGAATCAGAAAATCGAAAGGGACAAACTTGCTCAGCATTTGTCAAGCTGGAGGAACTGAAGGACAGATTTATTCCCCGAGTTGCAATCCTGAAAGATGCTGTGCGCAAGATATTGAATGTTCCAGGAAGCATCCAAAGAAGATGGAAGGAATACATGAAGTCGCTTTGCCGGGTAATATTGGCCGACATAGAACCATTTCAGAAGCAGCATAGAATCAAGTAGCTTATGGCCGATAGTCATAGAAGAAGGAGTTCAAGCTGCTCTGGTAACAATGACGTGAGTCTAAAGACCAGAGTGCACCTAATCCAGGCCGTGGTCTTCGCAATTAACTGCTGTGCATCTGAGAGCTGGACAGTGAATAAGGATGACAGAAGAGGAATCCATTTTTGAGTTGTAGTGTCAAAGAACATACCGCGGACTGCCAAGAGGACAAACAAGTCTGTCCTGAAAGGGTGATACCAAGATGCTTCTTGGAGGCAAAGGTTTTGAAACTCTGTTTCATATACTTTGGACACATCACCAGAAGGGACCGGTCTTTGGAGTGGTAGGGTTGATGGTCATCCTGCTTGGAAGGGTAGAAGGTCAGTATAAGAGAAGGCGGCCCTGGAGGAGATGGACTGACCCCACTGACTGTGTGGCAATGGGGTCAGTTGTGGCAGCGTTGGTGAGATTGGCTCAGGATAGGCCAAGGCTCAGAGCTGCTGTTTATAGGGTCACTGTGAGTCATAGCCCACTCAGTGGCATGAAAACCAACTCCCTCCCTGTAATTCTGATGTACATTAACCCTTCTATCCTACCCCTTCCCGCCTTCAGAGACTTATCCTTGGGCAAGTGCCCTTCTTGTGACCTAATGTGGTTGGTTTTTCTAAGAAGAGAGTGTTCTTGGCCTCACTGATGTTACTGGTCACCTGGAGGCCTGTCTATTTTTGCTGGAAGCTGAGCCACAGGGTGAGTTTTGTTCCAGACTGTACGTTTTACTGGGAGGAGACGGCCTCATACTTCTCCCACAGAGAGGGTGGTGAACTTGAACCCCCCGGCCTTTCCTTAGCCGCCCACCACGTCATGGACCAGCAAAGATGCTGGTCTCTCGCTGCTGGGATGGAGTTCCCCAGGAGCTGGGGCTCGTGCCCACGTGATTCCCTGATGGTTACCCCAGGAGCTGGCCTGTGACCGGTCCTCTACGAGGGCGCTTTGAGAGAACGCCTGTGGATCTCACGTGCCTGTAACATCTCTTCTTCTTACCCGTCACACTGCCAGCTTCAAAGCCCCAGTCCTCCTCACGGGGCGAGGCTGGTGTTTCTCTAATGTGCTCTTCCTAGCGATGCTAATAATGAAATGGCCATGAGGCAACTCCATCACCTTCTCGGGAATCCTCTCAGCTAAGCAGGACACACTGAGGCTGCCAGACCCCCTCCACGGTTCCTCTTACTTAGATGAACCACCAGGCCCTCAAACCAGAACAATCGGGAAGCCCCACCTGTTTTAAAGGACCTATTCTGTCTTGGTCTGTCTTCCAGGGACAAGCTCAAGGACCATTTCCAGGACGTGAGCAGAGCGGTGATGGAGTTGGACCTGTGCAGAAGCGGCTGTGTGCCCCTGGGCAAGCTGCAGAAGGCCCTGCGGGAGTGCGGGTGCCCCCTCAAAGACGAGGAGCTGGCGGAACTTCTCAGCAGGTTCTCTGCTCTGGCATCCTGGGGTGGTGCGGATGGTTAGGCATGAGACTGCAGACTAAAAGGTTGGTGGTTCAAATCCACCAGAGGCACCAGGGGGAACAAAGCCTGGAGATCTGCTCCAAAAGGCGCCAGGTATGACAGCCCCATGAAGCAGCCGTCTGCACGCGTGGGCTTGCCGTGGATCAGGGCTCACACCAGCAAGTGTGTTTCCCTTACAATATTGGGGGTGGGGGGAGGTGCTGCCTAGCCGCTTGGGCTTCTGATTCTGTGTCCTCTCAAATAACCTTTGATGCCAGTAACGTCCACAGTCACTTTGCTGTAATGCTAAGAATTAACCAAAAGAAAAGACAAAACTGGGCAGATGCCTGACTGTTCTCGACTCCAGCATTTTCTAAATCAAGTTTTGCTTTGAACCAGGTAACTCATGTGGTTTGTCAGGACCCAGACGGCTTTGACAGGCACTGTTTCCGGGAACTGCAGCCACTGCCCGCTAGCACCTCACTCTCCTTCGCCAGGGCAGTAATGTCCACTGTCCTGTTGTTATGACTGTTGTTCGGTGCCATGGAGTCAACCACAGCGCATGACAGCCCTGTGCACAGCAGGGCCACACGTGCCCTGTCCTGTGCCGTCCTCACACCGCTGCTACGCCCGAGCCTCTTGGTACAGTCTCCGCAGCAGACCCACCTTGTTGACGGCCAGCCTCAGTCTCTGGCCTGCCATCTCTCCCAATGTGCCTTTTTCCAAGAACTAGTGTCTCTTGAAAACATGCCCGAAGTATGTGAGTCAAAGGTTAACCGTCCTCTCTCCAAGGAGGCCCTCCAAGACAGACTCATTTGTTCTTTTGGCTGTCGTGAGACATACTCTTCACCAACACCACAATTCAAAGGCCTCACTCCTTCCTCTGTCATCCTTGTTCATTAGCCAACTTTCAGGAAGCTATTGAAAACACCATGGCTTGGGTCCGGGGCACCTTGGTCTTGACCTGCCATCGTTGGAGAGGGCCTTGACAGCAGACTGTCCCAGGGCAGCACAGCTGCTGGCTTCGTGATGGCTGTCACCACGGGTGTGAGTCCAGGCAAAATGACATCCCTGACAACTTCAATCTTTTCTCCCTGATGTTGCTTGTTGGCCCTCTAGTGAGGAGTTTGGGGGGGGGGGTTGTTTATATGTGATCCACATTGAAACCTGCAGTCTTGAATCTTCAGTAGCAAGGACTTTCACGTCTTTGTCACTTTCTGCAAGCAAGGTTTTATCATTTGCATAACGCTGGTTGTTGATGAGTCGTCTTCCAATCCTGGTGCCATGTTGTTCTTCATATAGTACAAATTCTCAAATGATTTGTTCAATGTACAGATTATATAGGTATAGAAAAAGGTTACAGCCCCAGTGCACACTTTGCTTGGTTTTAAACCATTTTGCCAAGGCATAGGTTAAAATGAGCACAGTAGTGTTTTGAGATTCCCCTTCTTCTAACTCTTAGCCATAATTGTTATGATTCACACAGTCAAGTGCCTTTAAATAGTCAATTACAAGTGAACATCTTTCTGGTATTCTCTGCTTTCACCTAAAAACCATCTGACATCAACAATGATATTTCTGGTGGCAAGGTGGCAAGGCCTCTTCTGAATCCAGCTTGAATTTCTGACAGTTTTGTGTCTACCTGCTGGTTAACTGTTTTTCAAAAATCTTCAGAAAATTTTACATGCATGATATATTAATGATACTGTTCCATGTTCTAGTGGATTATCTTTTATGGGGGAATGGGAACAAATATAGATCTTTATTTAGATCATCTTAAAGTCAGGTGACTAGTTAACTGTTTTCCAGGTTTCTTGGCATAGAGCACATGCAGAACTGCATCTATTTGCTGAAACATGTCATTTGGTATCCCATTAATTCCTAGAGTTTTATTTTGTTTTTCCAGTATCTTCAGTGAAGCTTTAACTTCTTTCTTCATTACCACTGGTTCTTGACCATATCTCCTTCCTGAAATGTGTCAGCATCAACCAATTCTTTTTGATACGGAGATTCTGTGTGTTCCTTAAGTCTTCTTTTGATGGTTCCTGCATCATTTCATATTTTGCCTGTAGAATCCTTCAGTACTGCAATTGGAGGCTTGAATTTGTTCCTCAGATCTTTCAGCTTGAGAAATGCCAAATGTGTTCTCCTCTTTTGATTTTCTAACTGCCGTTTTCTCTACATTTGATTATAGTATTTTGTTGTGGGAGGATGTCAAAGATATCATTCAGGAAGAGTGTAAACAGTCATTACAAAGACAGAAGAGGAAGAAAAGACCAAAATGGATGTCAGAAGAAACTCTGAAGATTGCACTGGAGCGTAGAGAAGCCAAAGCACAAGGAA